CAGGGCTTTGAATGCACACCTCCTGCTTCTCTGCGTGATTCATTCGGCACGTCACCACAGCCGACCACCATCATGCTCTCCATTTTCCAGGAAAATTAAAACATTTCATTTCGCTTAACAGATAAGTGGACTCAAATCCATAATTTCCCAGGGTCTGCTATTCCTGTTTGTGGACACTTACACCCCAAGGAAATAAAGGTCCAGTGGGGGTTACTATGTCCTTGGCAAGCTGTGCTTGTCACCATGCGCTTGGTCTTCATGGGCAGGGACACACCAGGGGACACGTCAGTGATTGTCCAGGGGGACAGCTGGGCTTCTCCTCCTCTGCCAGGATAACTACCCCGCGCCATGCACAGTGACTGCTTTTAGACTCGCTTATCCACTGAGGAGTCCAAAGTGACCTGATGACAGCTGTAAACGTAGATGATGCCCCTTTCATGGGAATGCAAAATATGCCTTTCCTAGGAGTGAAGCCTCCCGTCCATGAGCGCCTAAAGCCTTGGACGGAGGACACACCTGCTTGAGCTTGGCCTGGGGCCGAAGGGAGAATTTCCCTTCCAAGTCCCACTTGTCTGAGCCCACTGAGCCCACCCACGACGCTGTGTATGCTGCGACGTGCATACGCACCATGAAATGACCCTTGGATTGCGGCATGTGGCCCACTGCGGAGACGGTGGAGTCCCACATTGTCGCCTCGGGGTGCCTTTGCTGCAGAGCGGAGGCCACTGCAATTTCCACCAGACCAGCAACTTCTGGGTCTTGTGACCAGATGGGACAAGTACAGCCCATGCCATGCGCCTGTCATGGCTCCTTGCTCATCTTCAGGGGGGTCTCTCTGGCCATGTCGCCACTCTGGATCCCAAGACACAAAGGCTGAGTGCTGGCCGTGCTGTGACCGGGAGACCCAGTTGTGTACAAAGCCCGCAGCCCTGATGAAGAGGAACTGGGCTTTTGGGTGGAAGAGCTCCGACAGGTAAAACTGGACTCCTGTGGGATGGTCAGTGCTCATGGTGCTATTAGCTTGGGGTGCAGAGCCAGTCTGCTTCTGATCGACAGCAGGCCAGCAGGGCTGAGGGAGCCTGAGCTTCTAGGTGGGCACAGAGTCCCTCGCTACCCCTCCCCCGCCCTGGTGCTGTGTCTGTGGTCAATAGGTGAATGCTGAACATCTGAGGAGGGAGAGGGGCTGACTCCCGCCCAGTTCCTATTTGTTCAGAGTTGCTAAGTGGTGGATACCTGCGCTTGGATGTGGAGTGCACTGATGTGGGGTACACAGAGGGAGTTCTTTGTACCCACGCCTGACTTCATCCACATCACTGGTCTCCAGGGCTCTTTCTCATCCAATCTTGCTCCTTCAGGGGCTTGGACCAGCCAGTCAAGACTTTTCCCACTTGCAAAGAGCCAGTGGACAGCTACTTCCTCTGGTGGATTTTTTTCTCAAAACGCAACACGACAATGTGTCCTGCACAAGCTGTCTTCATGGGGATTTCCTCTCCCCTGCTTCTGAAACCAGAGCTGTCGAGCTGTTGTAGTATAAATAAACCCCCCATCTGGCATAAGAGCTGCTATTGGGGTTTTCATCGATGAAGTCAGACATTTCATGTTCTTGTCATCAATTAGGGTTTGTTATTTTTCCCCCCCAGCAGTCAAATGAGCTTGGGGTGGGAGTTATCACTGCCATGGCCAGAACCAGACTGTGCCACCCTGTAGGAATGTGCCCGGGCTCCCCATTAGTGCCTGCTCTGCATGGTTATAATTTGTAAATACAAGATTATTTTGTGTTAAATTGTGGATACAGAGATAAGCCAGCAAAAAAGACACAATTTATATTGGGTTACTAAGGGAAGTGGTTTTCTACCAAAAAAGATGATGAATTGATTTGTTTCTTGCTACCCCATGAAAAGAAAAACAAACGTGATTTCTTCAAGAAGGTATTTGTCTCCAGACTGACTGACATAATCAAAGAGCATTAGGAAGAGAAAGAAAACACTTCTAGATTAATCCATAGTTGGACCTAACAGGTAAGATGGTAGCAGGAACATAGATATTCATAAAGGGTCATAACATCGTGTAGAAAGAAAGGAACGAAATGTATTCATGTATATGTATTTTAAAAACAGCTTAGAATTACCCACCTTTGGGAAAGAATAAAGGAATATAATTTGAAGGGAATGGAATTAATTTTTGTTTCTTAATCTGGTAATAGTGGCCTGGGTGTGTTAATTTATGAAAATCTATTGGGTTGGTAACTAATAGCAATTTAGCAAGACAGAAATTAAACTTCTGAGGGCTCTTAAAATGAAGATCACACCCTTTGAAATTCTGAACATGTTAGATGCCAAAATAACCAGGTGTTGTGTTCTGTAATTTAATTTCTCCTTTTATCTTTTTCTAATTTTTAATTTGGTCTTAGTATGAACTACATTAAACATGCATGCAGGGTGCAATAGAGTAGAAAACATAGTTTCACGACTAGTCAGTGCTCAGAGATAACAGATCTCTAAAACAAAAGCAAACTAGAACATCTTAAAGGCCTGTCATTTGGCCACTGGCCTTTATTTTTGTTATGAAAAAGTTGGTTCCATTGAATACGATTTGGGGGTACGTGCCTTCCCCCACCACGTCATCTCCCCCATCACTCAGGCCACCCATTATTCCACAGAGACCACTTTCATTTCTTCTTTAAACAGAGAAAAAAGGCAGAAACGTACAGCAGGGATCTGAGTGAGCCTGGAAGTAGACGGGGGATAAAGTCACCAGCTGCCCGCAGGTGCCTGGCCCGTGGGAACTACTCATGTTATCATGGAAGCAGGAACGATGATGATAACATGACTATTTCTTCTTATATGAAAAAAATCTTTTCCTATGAGTTATTTGCAAATGGATCACATTAAACAATTATTTCCAAGGACCCATAACACGTAGGAAACAACTTCTTCTTTATAATTCCCCATGACTATGGACAGCACTGATGACAAGAATGAGGAAAATCCTGTTCTTTGGTCCCTTTCAGAAGTCTGGTATATAAAAGTCCTAGAGAAGAAGTCATCAGACTCTGGGAACCTCACCTGTGACCAGGAGCCCACCATCCACCCCGACGCCATGGCCTGCTGCTCCCTGTGCTGCCGGCCCTGCTGCCCCCCACCCTACTGCCCCCACCCTGCTGCTCCCCCTGCTGCACCCCCTGCTGCCGCCCCAGCTGCTGCTCCCCCTGTGGCCAGCCCGCCTGCTGTACCCCCGTGTACTGCCACAGAACCTGGTACCGGCCCACCTGCTCCTGCCTGCTTGGGTGCCTCCCAGAGAGCTTGGGGTGCCCCTGCGGCCAGCCTTGCGGCTGCTGATCACCTCCCCCAGCACCTCCCTCCTCCCATGACTCCTGTTAACTGATTTGCTGTTGGGGGCACTTCTGCGCCCACACCGTGATGGCGGCCAACACGTTGTCCCCACCACGGCTGCATCTCAGCCCGTGTAAAAGCCGTGACTCAGCCTGAGGGGCGGGGACCCCTCGCGTCTCTTCCTCCCGCTATGCCACGTGTCACATGCAGCCCCATGTCCCCAGTAGGGAGCTGGCCTTGCTGTGACTCTGAGGTCAGGCTCACTGCCCAACCCTTCCGTGACTGGGAAGCGACCTCGCAGCTGCCAACAGCTCCTGCGGCTGACCGTGACCCTCACAGTCCTAGTCTCTTCCTCAGTGGGCTCGTGGCTCAGCGCACTTTCTTCCTTTCATCACCGCCTTGAGGTGTCCCCTAGATGCAGGAAGTCTCAGCTACCAGACGAAATGCTCCCTAATAAATTCCATACCAAGTCCACTCATGTTGTTTGATTTTATTGTAGGGCATTCCCAGAACTTCTTTGTACTCCCAGGGGAGATTCACCAACCCCC